GATTTTTATAATTTCAAATTATCATCAACATGATGATAACTCACAATTTTAAAAAAAACTAGGCCTGCCACCCCGTTGGCTAAGCGTGGCAACTAAGGCAAAATTCCACTTAAAAGGAAATCTTTGAGAGAGGCTTAAGTTCAGCAGTAAACTTTTATAAGCTGTAATGAACGGATGGACGATTCAATGCGTTAAGTCCACTTCAAATAAATTTCTATAAGAAATCATTATGCAAAGGGTATTTAAAGAAGTTTAGTCTGCATTTCTACCTATTATTATGTTGCCAGACGTCGATAATTATAAAAATCGTCCTCTATTTCACATCGAAAAATTGATCTCGTCCGTTAATTTGAAATCCTTAATAGAGGACAAGGCAATATCGCGCGTATGCGACATTTCCCCTGTGTTTTTTAACTCTTCGACCACGTTAAAGTGATGCGCTATGTAAAGAGAAAAATAAATGTCGCTTCTGAATACCATAGCAGCATTTTATTGACAACAATCTTATTTTTAACTATAATTATTTTCATCCTATGTCGGTTAGTTAATCTTAACAAATCCTCCAAAACATTAAACGGGAGGTGGCAACCCTAGAGTCAACCCTCCACTAATGCACAATCATTTATCATAAATTTGCAAAATTTGACACATTTCTTTATTTGGTTCTCTATAGAACGCCTATAATATTATATTTCTACGACTCCTTTTGCATAGTGGAGTTATGAATTTCATAAACGCATAAAACTTTCGTATAAACGTTTTTGTGATAAACTAAACGTTATACATACACACACACACAAATACATGTATTTATACCGCCACGCTGCCCAAATGATGGTAGCGCAATCTCAGATATGGTTGTTTATTTTGGATGTTTTCCTTCACCGTTAATCACATGGTACTTAACCTGACTTAGAGTTGTAATTACAACTAATTAAATCCGTTATCAATGTTTTCAATAAAATGAACCATATTATTGTCAAATGTGGACCGGTATAATTACAAGCTTTTATTTAACTTGTTTACTTCGTATGTTTTTCCGGTTCAAAATTTGTAATAAATTTTTGAAGCACTTGCCGGTTGAGCAGGAATTTCACAAACTTGGTAAACTCTGAAATACAATTATGTAGTACCAGATCATCTATTTACGTCCACCAGACCATTCCTGATATAACCCCACTTTGACAAAAAACAAGTAAAGATAGCTTCGGTCCGATTGAATGCGAGTTTTCATCCCTCCACTTCTGAACTTCACTATTACTCCGCTGATAAAATTTTGCAAGTACGAATCCGAATTAGAGCCGTCTCCCCTTCGAAAGTTTCATTGAACTATATTTAAAAAATATAAACCAAAAAAATATATATTTTGAAGTTTTTTCTAAATAACTTTCAAAATATTTGACTAATCAATTCCAGACATCAATTACACTTTTTGTACTTAAAAAACTGCGTCGATTGCCGCTACGTAAGTCAAAATCGAATGAAGCGTTCAAAAATTATAGCTATTCAAAAATTTCTAAAAAATGGTTTGTTTGAATAAAACGGGAAGTTCCAGGCTTGGCTTACCGGTTAACCGCTTTTCAGATATTTTTTATATAGAATTTAGTTTAATTATTCAGGAATAAAAGTCTATGTAAGTTCATCAACTTTTTTCTGAGAAATACCAACATATGTAAGAAGTACTGTACTTGGTACTTGGCGAACGGAATCATGATTAAAATTGGCCTCACGGCCTCGCTGTATATACGTCATCATGTCGCCGGTCTGAATAGTTGAGATCGTTACTCCATTCAACTTTTAGGCCACCTAAGAAGCGAAATAGTGATCGATTGTATCTCGACGCTACGACTTGCATACGCCTACATAAATAAAACATATTTCGAAATCGAACTCAGCAGTGGGCGACGGTCAGTCATTAATATAATCTCAACTACTTAACACTAATGCACTTAATTGCACAAAGATAAGAGCGAAGTTAAAAAGCGTACACTTAGTGACATTGAAAGCCACACTTATAATTAACGTTTGTCTGAGTGGTACAAGCTAGCACTATCGTGGTGACGCAAAGGTTCTAGGAAAAACATGACGATACTAAGAATAGCGTATTATTCCCACGGCCCTATGATTACGTAGGTATGTGATGGTCAGTAACAACAATAACTATGCTTTGCTTTATCATTAAACACCTATACATATGCTAGTTTATGTTTTTACTATATATTAAATGTTATATATTATTTTACATAAGCATATATTCTAACAGATGTTGCCAAAAGAGTTAGGCAGAAACTTAGGACTTCCATTTGGCGTGATCCTGACACACCTCTTTAGGTTCTTGAAGGCATCACAAGGTATTCTACGTTAATCCTGATAGATGACAAACGCAATTCCAACTGTTGGTAAATGGTAATGAATCTTAAGGAGTTAATGTGCACTAGCATAGCTTGATAAAAGCCTATTCACTCTTGCGTTGAAGTCAGTTGTGTTTAGATGGAAGTTTGACGCTGGTTAATTTTTCCACTCCTTTGCTACATGCATATATGTAACAATTGAATAATTATAAATAATGTGTAAATGGCATGGATAAATTGGTAAAATTGATATTTTAACAGGTGTTATTTGTATTTGCTATAGGTCTCAGTTACACGTTTCGATTAACCTTCGATGATGCGCAAGGCATTTGCTGTCTAGTAAGAAATACGACACCTTGCGGTCTACGTGCTCAACTACACGAGAACTTCTTACTGTCAATACCTAATGATGCAATTCATGCGAGATTGATTGGCTCGTTGGTCCAGTGGTCGTAAACGCGACTTCTGGTCATAATTCGAATCCCGGGTCGGGCCAAAAACTTTATAATAAAAAAAATCAGATATTGAGTTTTCCTATTATAAAATTCTAAGTAGCTGCCAGGACTCTGAAAATTGGCGGTGCCTTATCACCGTGAATCGGATAGCACGTAAAGGCTTACCGTCCTATCGGACTGAGGGTGAGTAATTAGAGAGTGCACTTGTGCTTGCGCGTACACTAGGGCAGGGGTGGAGAACCTTTATGCATCAACGTGCCATTTTGCTAAAGAAATATTTAATTAGGTAATGACGTGCCCTAAAATAAGTTTGACTTCGTGATTATTGGGAAAATAACAGTACTGAATACAATCGACTCAAAACTATTTATTCACTACAAAAATCGAATAAAGAGTTTTGAATTGAGACATTTATTATAATACACAATAATAAATGTTTCAGTTATATGCGTAATTCAAAATAAAGTAACATCAGTGCGACTTCTGTTGTGGCAGATCAAATGACAAATAACTTATATTGGGGTTGTAAGATCATAAATATAAATCAGATGAAATGAACTATGTGTCATTAGCAATAGTAGTCCACGATTCAACTAGGATCACTCGCGTGCGTTCGTAATATAATAATCATAGTGAACTTTGTGTTTGATGGCGTGCCCAAAATATTGTGCCGTGTTCGCGTGCCAACGATGGCACGCGTGCCATTGGTTCGCAATCCCTGCACTAGGACCTAGTGTATGCGCAAGCACAACTCTGCCCAGGACTGGATTATAATGCCCTAGTGACTAGGGCATTGATTTTCAAAGTGTGGGGCGCGCCCCACTAGCGAGGCGCCAAGACATCTACAGGGGGGCGCGGTTGCGGGCGGTGGTTATCACTGCGGTCACTCGCCCGCATACGTATCGCACGCTCCTCACTCCCTGCGCCGCTCGCGCCTTGCAAACACGTGTACTTTTGTTTCAAAGCGACTTGCTATTGTGTGTTAGTTAGAGTTAGAGAGTAGTGACAGTGAACGGTTATTTCTTTTGTTTACCATGAACTCAGCCAAAAAACGCAAGTATAATGATGATTATATTAAATACGGTTTTTTTTTCTATGAATAAAAGTGGTATCGACCAGCCGCAGTGTGTTATTTGTTATGAAGTATTGAGCAATGATGCCATGAGACTTTCGCGTCTGGAACGACATTTGTCAACAAAACACAGCGCTTTAAAAGACAAGCCGAAGGAGTTTTTTTTTTGCTTCAAAATCTGAAAGTTTGAAGCGCATGAAATTGGATAGTACTGGATCCTTTGCTCAGTCATCTGAGAAAGTGCTTGAAGCATCATATGAATTGTCGCTACTCATTGCAAAGGCCAAAAAAGCCATACTATCGGAGAAACAATCGTGAAACCCTGCTTACTGAAAGCAGCTGATATCGTTCTTGGACCAGAAACTAAACAAAAATTTTCACAAATACCTCTTTCTGACAACACTGTTAAACGTCGCATTGATGATATGGCTGAAGATATAAAAAATCTGGTAGTTGAGGCCGTGAAAGAATCATGTTTTTTTGCAATACATTTGGATGAGAGTACAGATGTTGCGCAATGTTGTCAACTGTTAGTTTTTGTCCGATACATACAAAACGAAACAATTAAAGACGAATTGCTGTTTTCAACAGAGTTAACGACAACTTCGAACGCAATTGATATAATGACAGCAATCTCTGAATTCTTCGATAAACATGAACTGTCATGGAAAAAGTTGATAGGCGTATGCACAGACGGCGCTCCGGCAATGCTTGGATCTCGTTCAGGATTCGTACAGTTGGTCAAAGAAAAAAATCCCAACGTAATTACCATTCACTGTTTTATACACCGTCAGCCTTGGCAGAAAACACTTCCAAACGAACTCTACGACGTCTTAAAATTATGCATTAAAAGTTAATTATATTAAAAAGAGTGCATTAAACACGTGGCTTTTTGCGGCTCTCTGTGAAGATTTGGGCACAGAACACAAGACATTGATACAGAAGTGCGCTGGCTTTCAAAAGGTATGTTGACAAGATTGTTTGAACTGCGAGATGAAGTAATTCAGTTTCTAGACATTCAAAAACAAACTGAATTGTTTGTGGAATTTAAAACACCATGCATGGGTCCAAGTAATATTTGCTTATTTATCAGATATTTTTGATTCATTGAACACTTTAAACATGAAATTACAAGGTGGAGACTCGAACATAATTCATCATCGGGATGCTATCACAGCATACACTGAGAAGTTGCAACTGTGGAAACGCCAAATTTTGGCGTCTAACTATTCCTTCTTTCCTAAATTACTTGCGATCACAGAAGAAGCGTGTTTTAAGGAGATTTTGGATGTAATTGATACCAAGAATCAAATATCAAACCATTTGCAACACCTCACGGACGAATTCAAGCGCTACTTTACCGACTCGTGCAACAATATTATGTACCGATTAGTGACCGATCCTTTTCACGTCGACATAGACATGCTGCCAGATACATTACAAGAGCAAGTATTAGAAATCAAAAATGATTCTGCTGCCCAATATGATTTTGAGAAGATGGATAAGGCACTATTCTGGATTAAATATCTCAAAGTTTATCCCGAGCACAGCAGGGCAGGCACTAAAATTATTTCTACCTTTTTCAAGCACTTATTTGTGCAAAAAAGCATTTTCAGCAGTTGTAGCAATAAAAACAAAGTATAGAAGCAAATTAGATATTGCTAGTGATCTACGTTGTGCACTTTCTTCTACTGAACCTAGAATTGGAAATCTTGTGAAAACTATGCAAGCTCATCCGTCACATTGATTCTTCTTAATCTGAAGTGTGTAAAAGCCATATTTTTTTAATAAATAAAACATGTGAAAATTTATTTGTGGACTTTATTTTACTATACAACGTACAAAATATTCTTCTTACTTTTTGACGAAAAATATAACATGGTTTAAAAACTATTGGAATCGATTCTGTAACGGATTCCGAACAAACTACTTTCAGGTTTCGCATCAAGTAGGAATAACCTTGTATACTCGTATTATACCCTTATTTTATAAAAAAATATTTTACAATTGCTTGGCGAGCCCACTTGCTGCTACTGGGCCCTGGGCCGATGGGAGGCGTGGGCATATTAATTTTAAGCTGTAGGGAGGCGTGATACTTATAAGTTTGGGAACCCCTGGACTAGGGTATTATAATCCTGTCCTGCACAGATGGCTAGTCTCCGCAGAAATTGGCCGCCGTGACCAAAATCCGGTCTGGAGAACGATATATTCATACGAAATAATTTAATAAAATTAATTAAAAAAATTAAATTTATACCTGTCTATTTACATGAATACATTTAGCAAAATTCAACGTTGGTATATTGTATTTTTCCTACATTACATTCGTTTATCACCATTTCCGTATTTTACAATATAACGACTCGCGCTCGCGTATGGTTAGATTTCATCCGTACGTGATTGACGTACTCGTATATTCACGGTACGCAAACCTTGACGAATTCGTCTGCATTGAAGTACATAATATGTACTACGTACTAGAAGAGACGCCGAGTATTGGTTACCAAAGGCCTAAAAAGGTACTCTGTGTCTCCGATAACACGACGCTTGCATCTTAAGGGCCTATAGCCTATATAACCTCAGCTCTAATTATAATTTCGCCCCCACTTCCCCGCCGCTCTATGTACCGAAATGTTTGTAATCACTAATACTGTGAGTAGATAGGTCGTTAGATACTTATTTCATTACGTTTATCATATTTATGCCTGTTTCTTTACGCCAACCCAGCCGCTTCTTATTTTTATAACGGTTATTTTAGATTTTAATTTTACGTCGCCCTGTTGCTTAATGTGTATTCTGATCGTAAGCGACACAGCTTTCCCGTTCGAAAGCCGAAGCGAGACTGATCGGGCGACAAGGACAAGGTTTAGGACACCGATAGTTTAGTTAATTTCTTTTTACAGTGAAAACAATGGTAATTAAAAAAAAAAACCATAAGACTTGCTTTATAGTTAGTTCAGTTAGTATGCAAAATTTCATGATCTAATTTAAAGTATTTTACGAATACCAGCGGTTTATTGTTCAGTTTGGAGGTAACTTTGGGTTTTTTTCTATCGAGAAAAGTTTACGGAATCGTGTTTCCGTCCAACATAATATTACTTAACATTAATTCTCAACTTTACCGTATATTTATTTCAAAATTAATGCTGCAATATTTTCGGCATAACGGAGAATCTTGCAAAGCCATTTGATGTAGCATAGGCCCTTAACTTAAAAAAAATACAACAATTTTATTAAAATATAATACGTTATTGTTATTTTTATCAACGTACCATTGATAAGTTATAAAAATATTTTGCTGGAAGGCCATTTTAAGAGATTAGTTTACCATTTTTTTTTTTGGAACAAAATCGTGTTTGGGAAATAATCAATTTAATTTCTTACAGTTATATTCAAGTTTTTAATACGGATACATCAATTTATCTCTCATTTTTCTCGTCGCCTATATAGGGCAGAAAAACGCTTAACACCAATTAGCAACATTTGATGACTCTGGGTCGTTTTATAACTGTATTTAGCGTTGAAAGTAACATTAGCGTTATGCAAGCACTTGTTTTAGATTTTATCTTATACCTAGATTATATGCTAGGTTTAATATTCCAGCTTAGCAGCACCTGAGGTAGTGCTCAGATATAAACCACGTTTAAATCTTTAACATTTGATTTTCGTTAAGCATCAAATACACTGAAAATGGAATAGTCATCTAGTTGTTTTTTGCCATTTATATTAAATTAAGTAATTTATTAATAAATGCAAGAAGGAAGTTAATGAAAAAATTCCACATGATATAAAAGTTATGTGTTATAAGTTACAGGTTATACGAGTATCCCATAGCTCGGCACAGGTCTGAGAGGCTTATGGAGAAATTAGACAGGAGTGCTGCATCAAGTGCGTGTTGACGTGTACATGTTCTTGATGATTACATTCCTAAGAATACTAGCTTCTTCACGATGTTTTCTATCACCATCGTGCTGATAGTAGATTAGTACTTAAAATTCCAATTAAAAATTTTATTAGTGTCAGCGGGGGACGACCTTAGATTGTGAACTGTGAAATTTACGGATGTTAGAGTTCATGTGTACCTTCTAATTGTAAATAATAGAACAAAATTTTCAAAAACCCATTTTTTTATTTGAGATCGAAGAAAAAAGTAATATTATCGCATTAGTAATCGATATGATTTTATAGATGACGCTGCCATTGCAATTTTACTTACAAAATTGCATCAGCCAATAACGTTTTGCTACTGGATAATACTTTAAGATGTCAGCATAAAGTATGTTTCATTACGGTGACTGTTTATTTGCCACTTATTGCAAACTAGCTGTTCCCCGCGCCTCCGCCCGCGTGTAATTTAGGGTTTTAATTTTTTTGCGCGGCACCTTATTGTTTTCTCTAAAGTATAAGTAAGTTGCCCTAAGTTACTCCTTATAATGTCAGCTATCTCTGCCAGTGAAACAAACAGACAGACAGATAAACATAAAAATTTTAAAAATTGTGCTTTTGTTATAAATACCGTGTACGATGATAATAATACTAGTATATACTTTCGTACATCGTGAAACCTGCATGTCTGAGGAATAAGAAAAAAAATTATTTCGAAGACATATGAAGTTCGCCAACACGCATTGGGGCAGCGCGGTGGACACTTCCTTGCCCTAAAACCCTCCCAGAAGTGAGGGGAGGCCTGTACCCAGCAGTGGAACGTATATAGGCTGTAACTTTACTTTTTTATACTTTCGTATGAATTAAATAAAAAGCTGTTATCTTGACATTACAAACAGACCCTTCAATTTTATTTATTTGTATAGATATTGACTGTAAAATTTTATGTTGCATTTATTTGTGGTACATAAACTGTAAATATAATATTTATATCTTTTATAATTTACAATAATGAAAATGCTTAGATTTCCGTAAAAAAAGGAACAAAAAGTTATAAACATAATCAGCATATTATCACTGCTATAGCAACAATGGGTCGGTACCAGAGTACCAGCGTAAAATAGCAGCATAATACTGCTGTATTTTGTATGTTAAGTGAAGAAATCTTTTTACTGGTAACGAGACATCTATCTCAGCACTCAGAGGCGACTAAGCATTTGCATTTTGATTCTTAATCGAGGATAAATGGGGGTGTATATGTGACACAGCATCCATTTACCATCAGGTAAACTGTATGCTCGTTTGTCACTCGTATTTCTATATAAAACATAAACCAGCTAAGCACATCAGACCTTAAAATAACAGAAAGTATAATAATAGGCTCGTTTTGAGCGAATGACGTAAATTCACTCATGGGTATTATTGACATTAAGTACAAGCCTGATCTTTTTAAATAATTAACCTCGCTTAACGGCACGGAAATCACGATAAAGGGCGGCTTTATGGGTAATTTTATGCTTCGAGGAAAGTTCATTTGGGTCAGTCGGATAAGCATGAAAAAGGTTGGAGCAATAAATTGCAACTAGGGTAGGTTCAATTTTGACAGTGAAATTTGTACCTACATGTATAGTTGTAGAGTAGTATGTTACTCGTAAAAGCGTTATGTAATATAAGCATTAAAATTAAGATATAATTAATACAAGTTTATTATTTTTAATTGCATAATCCTATATGCATTTAATTACATAAGCATTATGACAGAAGAAATCAATTAAAAATTATATGACAGTCAAGTTCTTTTTGAATGGCTCATTTACATGGTTAAAAAAATTTTTTTCTAATTGTCCCAGGGTGGACTGGTAGCGAATGTCATAAGACATTTGAATAATCCATTGTAAGTTAGTTCACGATGAGTTATGAAATGTCTCACAGCTCAAATCACGAGTTGTGGCTCTCATATCCTTTAGAACAGAACAATGCAGTGCAAGCACTAATATTTGACGGCAGCAATACACATAATATTTACATACTTTAAATTACCTTGTATATTTACTATCTTTATTTAATCTAAAATATAAAAATTAATGTTTGCGCTGCCAAACGGTTCATCAGATTGCGCTAAACATTTTGTCAACTTATTGTTTGAACTTGCTGTTACAGACATAGTACAATCAGAAGTGAGTAGCAAAGTTGGCAAGGGACGCCCTAGACGGAAGTTTATTGCCCGAATTGGCGATATATTGAAGATGGCCCAAACTGAGACCACCTTCAACCATGGAAGTATAGACATATATATATGTAAAAAAAAGCGTGAAGTGCGTTAGAATCGTGCGAATAAGTCCGTAGTCTCTTATACATATCTAATACTAATACTATTAAGCAAACTTTTTTTTTCTAGTAATCTATTACTAGTACAGAGACTGGTAGGGAATGACGTAAGGCATTAAAAGTACGTCCTTTGTAACCCCTGGGTGCGAAACATTTGCAATAATGAATAAATAAATAAATAAACAATAATTAACTAACAAGAAACGACCCACCTAGTAACAACAAAACAAACGGCTGGTTAAGACGACACATCGAAAAAGTGGCTCCAGGCTATCGTCGTACTACCAAAAAACGCCGTCATAAAGTCTAAAATTGCGTAGCGCCCGCGTCGGTTAAAAGCGTTTAGAAATTGTCAGAATCTTAAAATATTTTTTTTAAATTATTGATTTAAGTAATCAAAATAATGAGTAAGTAAATTATGAATATATTTG